CCTGGGGTTTAACCAGATCCTGCTCCCTTAAAATAATATGCTGAGTCTTTTCAGTATTATGAATGCTGGCAGAGAGCTCCAAACAGGAAGCAGCCAACTGGGGAACCAACCCCTCCTCAGTGGAGCCAGTATGGAGCGGAGGTGGTGTAACACTAAGACAAAGTCTGACATTAGCTCCTACCTGTGCCGCCTGAGCTGTTTGAGAAGCTGATTTAGAAGACCCTGCTCCTTCCTTTCCTTGGGTCATCACTAGCATATGCAGCGCAACAGGCAGCTAGAGGAGCCCCAGGCAAAGAGGGAACCGGACAACAGCAGAGGACCAGCAGGAGAAGTGCAGCCACGATCACCCAGCACCACAGGAGAGGAGAGGTAAAGGCCAAGCTTCAGTGAGCACCAAGGCTGCAAACACCGCCGCCGAAGTGCCAGACATCACAAATGCTGACAGCCTGCAAGCCCATGAAAAGGGTTAAGGTAGGATTTGTCAGCTGGAGCTCAACAAACCACCTGCTGCTTATAAATAGTTTCAACTGCTGCAGTCGTAGCTGGATTTGGTAGTGCACCAAATTTGATTCCAATCCAAAATTTCAAGGTACACGCCCAAGTCTTCTCCCAGGCTTTTACATAGGGAAGTGGGGTAGACGAAGGTTTAGATATAAAAGTGGTATACAGGAGTGAGATTAAGCCCGGTGAGTGTGGATCTTTTAAGTACTTACAGTGGATATAAAAAGTCTACACACCCCTGTTAAAATGTCAGGTTTCTGTGATGTAAAAAAATGAGACAAAGATAAATCATTTCAGAACTTTTTCCACCGTTAACTAAAATACTGCTACAAGGCAGCACGGGTGCACAAAATTACATGTATATATACGTGATTTTGTAGTTCCGTGTAGGGGGCACGCCCTACCCGTGCCACCATTTGTGGCTTCAGATGTCAATCACTGGGTCCCAGCTGGTGATTCCTCGTAGGTGATTGCCGAGTATCTTCAATTGGGGAAAGACCTGTGTATAAACAACACAGATCTCTCCCCTGTCAGCTTCTGCACACTGCTTTGTATGCTCTGCATAGCAGAGCCATACAAAGCAGTGTGCTTACAGTGTAAAGCATTCACATAGCACACAGTTAACCCTTTGATCACCCCTGATATTATGCCCTTCCTGCCCAGTGCCATTAGTACAGTGTCAGTGCTTTTTATTAGCACTGATCACTATATTGGTGTCACTGGGGAGGTCAGTGACACCAAGTCAGTTCCCCCCAAAGTCAGAATGCCCGCCATAGTCCTGCTATAAGTCGCTGATTGCCGCAGTGTATATATACCACCATTTGTAAACGCTATAGCTTTCACACAAACCTACTGGAACAGCTGAACTTTATTTTGGGTTAATCAGAGGCACTTTAAATGATGACAGGTGTGTAGTGACTCCTATTTACCATGATTCTGAATTGATTGAATGTGATTGCTTAATTCTGAACACAGCTACATCCCCAGTTATAAGAGGGTGTGCACACTTATACAACCACAATTATTTTAGTTTTTTCATGTTTACTCCCCCCCCCCCCCAAAAGATTTCAGTTTGTTTTTCAATTGAGTTGTACAGTTTATAGATCACATTGAAAGTGGAATAGGTTCTGATATGATTTATCTTTGTCTAATTTTTTTACATCACAGAAACCGGACATTTTAACAGGGGTGTGTAGACTTTATATATCCACTGTAGATTCAATTGGGTGAATTACAGTGTATCGTTGCAGCTTCGGAGTAGTGGAACTATAATGCTTAAGCTGTAAATAACAAAACAAGTCAGATGAGGGAAGTTGGTGAGAGGCTTGTAGACCTGCAAAGGATTTTATGCCATTGGCATTTACCAAAGTGTGAAAAACGGTCAATTTCTGGGCTGTCCAGATTCAAAGCCAGGTTGGATGGACGGATTAGGTAGGAAGGACAATAATGGTAAATGCTGGGACATTAGACCTCCTGAATATATATTATCATCCTAGATCTTCAAAGAGTGGTGAGAGAAAGGGTTGGAAATCAAGGCTCTTTCTCAAGGATGTAGCCACACCAGATTGAAAATAAACAAAAGGGTACAGTCTTCTGCCTCAAGGGGTTTCACTGCTGGCATGGTATATTGGGAGATCTGCCTGAAAATGTCTCATGAGGTATGTGACTCCCAAGCCTCCACAGGGGGTGTGTCTGAAACAAGATCTGCTTAGAAACATTGGGCCTAAGGCATCGCCATGTGAAGTTTAGTACCTCCCACTGAATACCTGTCATAGTGGAGGTAGGTATCTGAATTGGCAGAACCTGAAATGGGTAGAGCAGTTTGGGCAGGTAAGCCATTTTGATGGTCGCAATGCAGACTAACCAGGAAAAGGTATGACCAGACCAAGTGAGCAAATATTGTTTACGTTTTGAGAGAAGACAGGGTAGGTAGCCTCATACAGAGTGGAGTAGGAGTTCGTAAGATTTATCCCCTGGTATGGGAGTTTAGTGGTTTCCCAGTGGAAAGGGAATGGACTGCTGGAGTGAGTCACATAAGGGCTTGGAGGGATATGTTGAGAGATTTAGATTTACTAGGGTTAACATGCAGACCAGATATGTTGCCAAACTGTGTTAAGGTCTGCTGAGGGGTGGATAGCGAGACAAGGGGATTGCTGAATGCCAGGATAACATTGCATGCGAACAGACTTAGCTTACATTGTATCTGTCCAATCATCAAGCTGGTAATGTCTGGCCCTGCAGCTCCCTCCAACAAGGAACCAAGAAAATAGGGTCTAGGGCCCAGCAGGGCACCCTGTCCATGGGCATAGCAAAAATGACTAAACAGAGAAATCACTAGGGAGAGGAAAAGGGGGCACAGCATGAAGAGTCAGATTGGGGAGAATGAGGGGGGGGGGGCTAGACAGGATGTATCATTAATATAAATCTGAACAATAGCTACAGTATTGTGGCCTAATAAAGCAGAGGAAGGCCTGCACTGCACCAAGTGCAGAACTGAGGCCAGGTAGTGAGAGGAGGAAAGGGAAGGAGATGATGATTCAGGGAGGAGACAGGTAAATAGGGGTACAGAACTTAATATGGGCCCACAATAAAATGAAAAGACACATAGTCAACTGTTCAAAAGGTGGCAGAACACCAGTAGTCAGCAAGCAGGAAGGGGAATCTCGTCCGATTAAAAAAAAAAAAAAAAAGGACTATACCACAGATGAGAAAGTTCCAGGAAGTGGGAAAACTCAGTCTGCTGGGCATAAGTCCAAGGAGGGTAGGGACACTGGAGAATGTTGACCATGAGCCTAGTCCACAGAAGGGGACCGCAGAGGGTATGTCTGAGGTCTCACAGCTGGGGAAGAGTGCTGTGGGTCCAGGGGAGGAGCCAATAGGGGACTGCGGGAGACGGAGGCTGTTCAGTTTTGTTGAGCTTTCTCCAATGTAGTGTGGTTGCTGTGTTCAAAGATAAGATGAAATGGATAGCCCCATGTATAGGTAATGCAGTGACGCTGGAGAGCTTGCAAGATTGGCTTCATCTCCCTCCATTTCACAATTGTAAAGGGGGCCAGGTCAGCAAAGATCTGCTAGTCATATCTTGGAAAGTCAGATGAGGCTTATTGTGGGATGCCTGAAGAATGCTTTCTTTAGTGCAGTAGTAAAGACACTTTACAACAGCTGACTGGAGGACAGTGTCTTTATCAGTGCTCCGTGGATTCTGTCGAACTCCAAACACTCGGTTGGAACCCAGGGTGTCAACTCCTGTATAGGTGCCGTAATGGTGGATTATGAATGAATCACAATGTCTGGGATGCCCCTGAAGTACAAATTCGAACTGCAAGACCTATTTTCCAGGTCTTCCAACTTATAGTGGAGCAAGGTGTTTTCGTCCTGCAGTCACTCAAGTTCTTTGTCATGTGCTGTAATGGAGGTATAGGCATCCTCCATTCTGACGTCTAATTCCTCAGTACTCTAGCCTAGCTCCCGAACATCTATAGAAAGGCGCTCAGTAATCTGCTTAGATGTGGTCTGAAGTATCTTCTGGAGCCTTCTCTCAATTTGTGAGAGTATGTCTGCATAAGTGCCAACATGACTATCTCTATCATTACCCCCTTGGGAAGTGGACCTCGGAGAGGCGTCCGCATGCTTGTGCATGATCGCCATCTTGGGAACAGCAGCCTGGGCCAATGCCTCTATGATAGAGTGGCTCCAGACATTCCCCATTGTTTTTGGAGGTGTCATGTAGTGGGGAAGAGATGTAGAAGTCAAAGGGGATATGAAGAGCCATGCTGAGATGAACCGATCCGTGTCCTGATGCTCAACAGCAAGAGCGCGGAGCGGAGCTAGCCTAAAGCGTGTCTGCCATTGGTCGCTGTACACATGCACCGGGATAACAGCCTCTTTTAAAACCCCACAGATATACACTAAAAATGGGAATCTGATTTAGCAGCTACCAAAATTCCTGCAGACTGTTAAGCCATACGGACAACAGTAGCCAAATGATCTAATAATAAGATAACAAATACAAGGAGCTTTTTGTTTAGTACTTAGTGCATGCAATTCCCTCCGACATCAAAACATGCTAAAATATAAAACGGGTCAATTCTGATCAACACAGGTAAATGGACATGGTGTGAATGAGCCCTAACAGCTTAGAAACACCTGCTGGTTCTTTACATAAGAGGGCTGGAAGTTTACTAAAATTCTTAAGCAAAAGAAAGTAATAGGGAAAGAGCTAAGATTTCAGTGCCTGTTTTGTGAAATTTGAACAGCTCATTCATGCTATATTTGCTGGTACCATGCTAGGATGAATTGCCCAGTGCAGGTTTAGCACAAGACAAGGCAAAAATCCTTGTTACCTATGGTGTCAGGTCTTACCACTGGGTTACACAGGTGTCTTTATCAGATATTTTTTTTAAATATGAAGGGAAATAGTGATTATATAAGTTATTTTACAAAAACAAAGATAAAGTAGATACGGTATGTATGAAAACATGACACAATATTTTTATTAGATGGCAGGTCGTGCTGGAAGAAGAGGACTGGATCTAGAGGGAAGCGTGTTTTTCTTCAACATTTCAGTGCCAAAAGTGAAAAAAAACTTATGAAGTCCAACGTTCCAGAGCTAAGAGGCCAGTTTCCTCTGAGTATTTCCCTTGTACTAAGACTAATGCTGCTAGCAGCCAAAGCAGATGACAAAGAGGATGCTAAAGCAAAAGTAAGTTTTTAACACTGTTTAGATTTTCACACTGTTTACTAGAAAGGGGAAAACAACCTCTACTATAATGAAAGTAAAACGTCAATTTTGACCATTTTCCAAGTCCACCCTAAGCAGGTGAAGGTCTTCACTAGAATTACTTGGCTTGCTTTCTCTGCCTCTAGGAAGTAGATGAAGTAGAGGAAGTATCAAATTGTGGGTTAAAGCTGTGTCTAAATTTTGGCATTCAAATTTGTAAGCTGCAGAGAAAGGAGAACATTGTTACTGATACATAGAGACCACTTACAAAAAAAGACTGCTGTGGGAGGACCTTCCGAATGCAGTATTAAAAGCATAGGTAGATTTTTAGAAATTGCTCAGCAAATGCCCTTTCCATTAATATCTAAAATAGTGCATAATAGCAGGTAAAAACTATTTGCTGAATGCATACTGGTCAAGAAAGACAAGCGATGTTGGATTTTCATTAAAGGAAATCTATGGTTGCAGCATACACTTTCACTTTATAACATCAGCATTTTAAGAACCATAGTGATACCAGTAAAGAGTTAGTAACACTCCCTACAAGGTACAGCGCTTTACCCAAATTAACTTACCAGTGATTATGATTACGTATATAGTGTAACAGTCACAGGGGCGTATCATGAAATCAGTGGGCCTGTTTGCAAGATCAAAAGTAGGCCCCAGGCAATGATAAAAAAAAAATGTGCAGCTGCAAAAAGTGGGCATGGTTTAAATTGCACTTTTGAAAATGGGCGTGGCTTAAAAGGGGTCTGGATAAATAGTGTCTGAGATGACTTGCAGAATGTGGTAATGTTAAATAGGGAATGTACAGTGTGGAGTGTTTGGCGGTGGGTAGTATGTACAGGGAGAGGAGTGTGGAGTGTATGGCGGTGGGTAGAATGTGCAAGATGGTGTCAGTAGTTCTTTATTTTTATTCTTTTTTTTTGTACAATTTTATTAATTTTTTTAAATTTAATGGTTTATTATTTTTATCATTTTTTCAAAATGCTTTTTGGGTGGCCAGTGGATGGTGTCGGTAGAGTAATAGAGTGGGTGTCAGAATTTTTCTATTTTTCTTATTTAGTTTTTTTAATTATTTTTTTACAATTTATTTTTGTATAATTTTTTTCACAATGATACAATGATTTTGTAGGGGGCAGTGGACAGTGTCAGTAGGGAGAAAACAGGAAGCACTAGTATATGTTGGGCTGTCATTAGATTGGGATGAATAAACAGAACCTGTACTCCCTTATATCATGCGTCCTTGTAACAGTCCCCCTTACATCAGATGTCCCCACATGGGACCAACTACTACCATAGGCTGATTACACAAAACTAAGCTTCATTGGCTGCACTCATGAATGCTATTGCTTGAGGACAAAATAGGAAAGAGGGGGAGAGAAGAGAGAGAGATTTGGGGGAAGAAAGAAAAGAACTGGAGGAAAGAAGGGAATAAATGGATGGATGGAGGAAGAAAGAGAGGATGGAAGGAAGAAAGGGGGGGGGATGGATGAAGGAAGGAAGGAAGGTAGAAAAGGGAAGGAAGTAATAAAGGAAGGAAAAAAAGAAGGAAAGGAAGGGAGGGAGGAAAGAAGGAAGGGATGAGATGGGGGAAGGAAGGGAGGGGAGGGAGGAAAGTAGGAAGGGAAGGGATGGAGGAAGAAAGGAAAGGAGGGGAGGGAGGAAAGAAGGAAGGGAGGCGTTGGAGGAAGGAAGGAAGGAAAAAAAAAGGGATGGAGAGAATGGATGAAGGAAGGAAAGGAGGGGATGGAGGAAGGAAGGGAAGGAATGGAGGAAGGAAAGGGAGGGGATGGATGGAAGAAGGAAGGAAGGAAAGGGAGGGAATGGATTAAGGAAAGAAGGAAGGGGAGGGAATGGATGAAGGAAGGGGAGGGAAGGGAGGAAAGAAGGAAGGGAAGGATGAAGGAAGGAAGGAAAGAAAGGAGGGGATGGAGGAAGGAAGGAAGAAAAGGTAGGGAATGGATGGAGGAAGGAAAGAAAGAAAGAAAAAAAGGAGGGGAGGGAGGAAAGAAGGAAGGGAATGGAGGAAATGAGGGGAGGGAGGAAAGCAGTAAAGGAGGGGATGGAAGAATGTAAGGAAAGAAGGAAAGGAGGGAAGGACTCACGTGGATGGTTCCAGGCTTGCTGGCACATTCAGAAGCATCACACAGCTGCCGGCTGCTCTGTACACAGTTTCCCATCCCATCCTCTTCTCAGAAGCTGCATAGACTGGTGTGTTGGCAGGGACAGGGGGAGGCAAAGCATATCTGGACTCTCTCCTCTGTCATTGTTCTGGAGGATGAGGGAGGGGCTGAGCACTCTCAGAGAAGTTGAGGCAGCAGTGATCTGCAGTGGGGGGGGTCTTAGGAGCACACAGGGGGGCCCCAGAAGGAAAATCGAATGCACAGTCAGGGATGATTGATGCGGCGGTGGTGACAGTCACAAGCACCGATCTCCCTGTATGGCTTTCAGTGAAGCAGATTGAAGCTGCTTTTCCTCCTCTCCCTCCTGCACCTTTCAGCTGCTTCATTGAAAGCCATACAGGGAGATTGCTTCTGCTTGTAAATGTCCCCACCGCTGCACTGATCCTCCCTGACTTTGCTCCTGATACATCTCATCCATAGGTGTTCACAGCACAGGGAGCCCCCCAACCCTCAGGGCCCATGTGCAGTGAACATCCTGCACCCATAGATGATACACCACTGAACAGTCAGCTTAAAGTGTTACTAAACCCATGACTCTGCATTCACTATATCTAGTCTCCCACAGTACACAGAACATGGAAACTGGAGCACTGGTTAAAACTTGTAGGAGGAGTTTTCATTCTGCTTTGATTGCCCTATGAGGCTTCATAACCCCTGACCCTCTGTATGGACAGTGCTCATTGGCCCTGTGCAGATCACATTCACCCTCCAAAAGAAAAAAAAAACTCTCTAGCAATGCACACTAAACCGAGCATGTGCATAGTGACTCCTAGAGCTCTGTACTATCAACAGATGGCTTGGGGACAATTGAAGAAGGGGAGGGTCATAGAAGACAGGAGCAAATGGCCTTTTCACATGAGGAGGATTAACCCCTTGTTAATCCACAGTGAGTTTAACAAGCATGCTTTACTGCATATACAGACTGATCTTACTGTTGTGGGTTTAGTAACACTTTAAAGTGTTACTAAACCCATGACCCTACGTTCACTATATCTGGTCTCCCACAGTACACAGAACACGGAAATGCAATTATTTTAGCAAATATTAACTGCTAAATATGTTTTCTCATCAGCAGTTAGAGCAGTCTTGTGACTTATATCAGTGTTCAGCAAAGCACTGGTTAAAGCTTGTAGTAGGAGTTTTCATTCTCCCCCATGAGGCTGCAGGACCCCTGACCCTCTGTCTGGACAGTGCTGATTGTCCCTGTGCTGATCACATGCACTCTCCAAAGAAAAAAACTATCTAGCAATATGCACCAAACTGAGCATGTGTAGCTTGCCCCCAAGGCTCTGTTCTATCAGGAGATGGATTGGAGACAGTAGAAGAAGGGGAGGATCAGGGAAGGCAGGGTCAAACATCTTTTGCACACAATGCAGAGGATTAACCCCTTAGGTTCCACAGTAAGTATAACAAGCATGCTTTACTGCATATACAGACTGATTTTACAGGTGTGGGTTTAGTAACTCTTTAAGTCAAAAAGATACAAACTGTTTGTTTCATTGCCTCTTTATTTTGAAACATTGTATTATGCAAAGTGTGTGCTCTTTCTATATTGTACAATAATACATTCCAGTGTCCTGTGATTCAAAACAAGCATTAAGTGTCCAAACTGCAAATAACATTTTACTTCACTGTGAAGGGGAAGATTTACTCTAACTGGTGCAATCAGTATCTGGTGCAGCAGTGAGGAGAGCAGAGATATACTGCCTAATCCACCAATCCTCCAAGCGCAAGACTGGTCCCTGTCGCTCCTAAACTCCCCCCACAAGCGGTCTAGCAGTGTTGTGTGGTGGACTGTTCCTGATGTCATCGCATCCATAAACCGGCTCTGGACATGAGGACAGCAAGAACAGGCCACTGCTGGATGTGGGGGGTGCACTGTTTTCCAGGGGACCGAAGGATCAGGTGAGTATAGCCTTTTTGTGTGTCCTTGAACAAAATGAACAGGTAACCCATGCAGTGTTGGCACAGATCGACTGCATGGGAAAATAATTCCTGAAGTTCTCCTTTAAATATGGTAAAACAGCAACATAGGCATTAAGCAGAGGAAGCTGGGCAAGGGTGTAAAATATTTTACTCTTTACCAGCGCTTAGTTCTAACCTACAAGAGTGTATATCTGCCTTACATGTATATGTGGAAAGAAACATCCACACACAGTTGCAAACAGGTAAGCACAATAAGAAACCTGACTACAGCCTTACACAATGGTGTAAGTGGAAAACTGTTCCAAAGAAAAGACTACGGCAAACAAGAAATCTGTAAACTGCCACCGCAAATAAGATCACAATGTAAACTAAAACCAATATAACTCCAAATATGAAACAGTAACACACAAGGATGAACAAACCAATAAATATGCAAATGAAACATGCATAAGGGACAGTGTGTGAGTGTGTGTGTGGTTTCTCAAATGATAAACGATGTCAATCACAACACCAGATAAAATTAGGGAAGGATGCTACTCATAAAAATGACTAATATACCATGATCCCTGCCAAGATCCTAGTTTGGAGATGAAAGATTCAATATACTCCCTCATTACACAGGAGCCTGAAAACAGCCACCCCCCACTTTAGGAGAAAAAACCCTTTCTATAGTTTGAATTTTTACAGCAGAAAGACTGTTGCCATGACAGGCGTTAAAATATTTAGCAACATTTGTAGAATGATTGTGCTCAATGTTATAAATATGGTCATGGAGGCAATCTCATAATTGTCTAGTGGTTCTGTCAATATATTGTATCAAGCAGATATCAAGTAATTAGATATATCATACCTGGTGTTGCAATTATAAATGAGAGATTCTCCAAAGACCAGCCAGGAACAATGGATTGAAATGTGTCCCCTTTAATAATCTGGAACAACAAGGGCATTTAATATAACATTAAAAGTAGACCATTCTTTTTTTTACTTGTACACAGGCTATATGACAGATAGCTACCTAACAAGGGCAGCATCAAACTATTTTTTTTTGGGGGGGGGGGGGGGGGGGGGGGGGTATTGGTGCTGGTAGTATAACTGGGGGAGCTAAAGCTGTGCTCTTGTGGGCGTGGCCAAAAAAGTGAGACCACAAGTAAGTGGGTGTTTCTTCATGGTCTGTCCTCTTTGTATAGACAAAATAGGCCCTTGAGACAACTCAAGAGATTGTTGGAGTGAAATATGCTCAAATGGGACCAGAAATGTGGCAGGGTCAGCAATAAACCCTATCAAGTCTAAGGGCTAAACACCCAGCCTGGCACAATAATTAGCCCCAAGCACAGCACAAAATTAACTCCCAGCAAGGCACAAAAATTAACAACCTGGAAGGTATAATAATAAATCACCAACAGTGCACAATAATAAAGTAAAACTATTGACACAATGTTTTTTTTAAAATACATTTTGGGTAGAGTGAGGGAGGGTTATAACCCCTGTCAGTTTTTTGCCATCTGTGTCCCATTAGGGAGATTTACCTTCACTTTCTGTCCCACAGCCAAAACAGGAAGTAAGAGGAAATCCCTGCAAAGTAAGGGAATCCTTTGGAGCCCCCCAGGTCACCAGAACTAGTGTGTCCATTTGAAGATTTACCCTCTACTTTTCTGGGGACAACCCAAAATTTGGGATTTTCTTTACTTTCACTTTCAAAGATAATGGTAAACAGGGCAAATTGAGAGAGTGAATCTCCCTAATGGGGGTACAGGCAGTAATAAATCTTGACAGAGGTTCCAATCCCTCTCCAATCTATCCAAAACTAAAAAAATAGTTTTGCTTTTAGTTATACGTTAACCTCCAACATTGCACCTTACTTAATGTGCTAGCATGACACAACAATTAACTTCCAGTATGGCACAATAATAAGCCCCCAGCACGGCACAGTAACTTCCATCACAGCACGTTCAGTAATAAACCCTCAGGAATATGCATTATTAAATCTCAGAACTACACAATAACTAAGCTCCAACATCATGTAATAATTAACCTTCAAAATCATCGTAGTCAGTGTGTCCCCTTAATTGTGAAATGTACAACACAGCTTAGAGAGTGAAGAGCTCAGCACTATGCAGCGTACAGTGTGTGGGGGACAGGACCGTGTACAGCATTATTCTGTCATTGCTTCTCCTGTACAATGGTGGTTAGTGTGCCCTCTGTACAAGAGTGGTTAGTGTACCCCCTGTACAATATTGGTCAGTGTGTCTCCTGTACACTGGTGTTCAGGGTGCCCATTGCATACTGGTGGTCAGTGTGCAAAGAGCCAACCTTTATAAATCATGGGGCCCCATACAGTCTACCTGACAGGGTACTAGTGCATGCAATGTGTGAGAGCAGTATGTAGTGTCAGTGAAGAGCAGTATGTACAGAAAGTGCAGTGAGCAGTATGTGGTGTAGGGCAATGAACTGTAAAAAATGGCAGTGCAGAGGTGTGGAATGTGAGTTGCAGCAGGAGGAAAGTGCAGGGCAGTAAAAAGCATGCAGTGAGCAGTATGCAGTTTTAAACAAGTAGGGCCATGCACAGTAGCTAGTGGAAGTGCAGAGCAGGCTGAGAGCGGTATGTGCTGGCAAAAAGTTAACAGTATACAGTGGCAGGATAGTGTGCAATATGCAGTGGCAGGGCAGTTAGTGAGCAGTATATATGGGAAGGGCAGTCAGTGAACAGTAGATAGTGGCTAGGCAGTTAGTGATCAGTATGTAGTGGATGGGCAGTCAGTGAGCAGTACATGGTGGTGGTCGGGGCAATCAGTAAGCAGTATGTCATGTGGCAGTCTGTGCAGTATGTAGTGGGGGCAGTGAGCAGTATATAGTGAGGGCAGTGAGCGGCATGCAGTGGAGGTAGTGAGCAGTATGAAACAGGGCTAGTGAGCAGTATGTAGAGGGGGCAGTGAGCAGTATAGAGTGGGGGTAGTGAGCAGTATGTAAAGGCAGCAGTCAATGTGCAAGGAAGACGTAGTTGGGGCAGTCAGTGTGCAGTATGTAGTGGGGGCAGTGAACAGTATGTAGTGGGTTTAGTGAGCTGTATGTAGTGGTGCATTGAGCAGTATAGTGGGGCTAGTGAGCAGTATGTAAAGGGAGCAGTCAGTGTGCAAGATGCACTGTAGTGGGGGGCAGTCATTGTGCAATAAGTATTGGGGGCAGTGTGCAGTATATAGCAGGGTAGTGTGCAGTATGTAGTGGGGCAGTGTGCTATATGCAGCGGGGGCAGTGAGCAAAAATATAGTGGTGGCAGTGTGCAATATGTAGTAGCATCACTGGGAGCAGTTCCCCAGCCATTTGTATGTGGTATAGTAACCAGGGTAGGGAGCTGAAGTATTACAGATGGAGGAAATTCCTGCAGATGAAAATCTCTTCTCATTAGTCACTCACCCCATGGCTAGAGGTGGAAGTCCTGTCCCACTTTCAGCCAGAGTGGTCACTTGTGCATGTGGGAAAAGTCAACCACATCCCATCCATCTGTTTGAGCCCGGTGAGAAGCAGCCGGATGAGAGAGAATCTCTTTGGGCTGCCAGCCACAGGAGGCTCCATGTGGAGCAATGAAAACTGTACTGTACTTCACCTGGGGGACAAAAACAGAGACAGCTCTTGCTGGGTCCCCTGATGACCTGAATGCGCTCGGTCTAGTAGCAGTAAACTGCTTGTAGCCCCTAATGGGTGGCTCTGGTCACACAGATGGGGGTGTTAGCAATAATTTTGGGGGTGCTAAGGCACGCCTAAGCTCCCCCCCCCATCTGAAGCTAGCATTACACAGAGCTGTAGGTAGGGATGACTTATTGAAAGATTTGGATTGGAGTTCTGGTGATAGGAGAGTTCCAGTTTTTTCAACTATATGTTGTGCAGAATATAATAAGGTTAAGTCCATTGTGAAGCATTATTTACCAATACTCCTAAATGATGATATACATGCACATATTTTGTATAAAGGCCTAGGAACTGTGTCCTTCTTTGGGCAACTATTTGTCACCTAGCCTGTTTACAAGTCAGAAAAATGGGGTCATAATTGGCTACATTTTAAAGGAATTACAGATGTGGTGACAATGAATGCCCTTGTCATCACAATCAGATAATCAGATATATTACATACCTAGTGTTGCAATTAAAAAATGATGGAGTCTTGAAAGATCTGCCAGTAAAAGTGTACTGAAATGTGTCCCTCATCTTAATAAGGGGGACACATTTCAATCCACTGCTACTGTCAGGTCTTTCAAGATTCTGCCATTTATTAATTTCAACACCAGGTGTGTGATATAACTGATTACTTGTGATATCTGCCTAATACAGTATGTCAGCAGAACCACTAGAAGATTACGAGACCACCTCCATGACATGACCAAATATATAACATTGAGCAAAATCGTTCTAGAAATAGCGCTAAACATTTTAACGACTATCATAGTGGCAATCTCTCTGCTATAAGCATTCAAGCTATAGAACAGGTTGTTTCTTGTTCTGGTGTGTGGTGTGTTCTGGCGGGGGAGGGGGGCAGCCCCCCTGTCAGAACACAATAACACAGCATGGAGATAACTGTACAAACTTCCTATAGTTAGTACAGAGACCTCCTTGCGAGCTGCTCAGTTTTTCTTTCCTTCATCCCGCTGGGCTGAATGAAAAATAAAACCTTACCGTGTGTAGTAGGCTTCAGTCCTGATAAAGCGTGAAACATGTTAGTCCCAGCTCCCTCTGCTTGATGCCTGTGTTGCTGTTTTATCATATTTACAAATAAGGGCAATTCTCAGGATGTGCAGCTGTCCAGATTTTCTTCTAACGTTTGAAACTTACTTTAAAAACTTCAATATTGTTCAGATTATTAGGAGTAGGCTAAAAATAGTTGAAAAGCAATGTGGAAATAAGTATAAGATTTTACATTTTGACCATAGATATGTGTTAGTGTTTTATTTCAAAATACATTTTATCATATTTTTCTAGATGGTTCTTGATTAACAACCTTAAATATATTGATTAACTATTAATACCATACATTTTTTTTTGTTAGGTTTTATCAGTTTTGAAGCATTCCCTTATGACATTCAAACACCAAAATGAAACACAAGTGTTAAAGCTTTACTGTGTGTTCTCGATGCAGTTCTTGCTGTCAGAGGTTCGTAATAAATGTATTGCTTTGTTTTTCCAGGCTGTATTCCCTAATTGTAGTCTCTCTTTCTGATCGTTTTGTAAGCCAGACTTTTATAATTTTATAAAATGTAATGCAAAGAAAATGTCTGTGTTACCTAAATTAGGTTGGGCATGTTAAAAATGTACACTAAAAATGTAAAGCAAACAACAACCTGTTGTTAAGTGCAACAGCAAATGTTCTTATTGTATTTTAATTTATTACCTCTAGGTAAATGAGTGTAAAGGAAGCCTAGTATGAATGCAGTATGGTTGCTGCCATTGCTGACCTTCTTATTCTGAAAATATTAGTTGCCTGGCTATTTCTTGCTCCAACATTTTATAATTCACATACCCAAGACTAACATACAGCAAGTGAAGTTGGAAGTCCTGATTTGCCTGGTTTAGCCTGACAGTCAGGTAACTAACATTTAAAAGTCAGGCAGCAGTTGCAGTCTCCGTATTTTCTCTCTCTCTCCCTCTCTCTAGTATTCTGAAAATTACCTGTATAGTGATGTGACCACTGGCACTATACAATATTCAATATAATATGAAAAAAAAATTATATTGGGTTTCTTTGTAGAAGGTGCAAATTGAGCTTTTGGAAGCTTGTAACCAAATAATTTGCCAGACTGTTAAGGGTAAATGTTGACTCAGGATTTTCTTCCATTTCAGCTTTATGTCTATTTGAATGGAGGAGGGGGGCATAGCGAGCATAGTGCCAGATTTGTAAGTGTCCATAGAATACACATTTTGGTAGCTTAGATTGATTTTGAGGATCTGTAGAAAGCAAATACATTATTATCACATCCGCCAGGTAACCAAGTTGAAAAAAAGGCCTTATTTTTCCAGGGGTGAGACATGATTAAGGTCAGACTATAGGGTATAGAAGGATTGAAGAGCAATAAGTTAATAAAAAGTAGTATCTGATGTCAGAGAAAAGTGTCATTAGATTGTGATAGTGAACAACACTGTGTGAAGGATTTTCGATGGTCCTAGCTTTACAGTACTATTCCATAGCACAGAATTCGAACGCATTGGTGTTATCCATAGTTTCTCCATTCCAGTCCATCAGCTGTTAGCATGGACCATGAGGTACATGTTTTTAAGTGGTTAGCTAGGAAGTATTTAGTGAGGTTTGGGAACGCTAAACCTCCTTGGCTTCAGATAGCATATAAAACAGATTTAGCTATGCTCTGTCTTTTTTACTTCCATGCAAAGTAATATTTTGTTGGTTTAAAGGTGTGACACAGGTATAATAAATATGAGTGTCTCAAATAGGTATGAAGTTTAGGCAGCCTTGACCTTTTAATTGTCGGTATGTGGACTAGAAATTAGATGTGTTACTACTTCCAGGTTGATAGTAGTCTTCCTATTTCATTATATAGGGGTGGGAAGTTTTCCCTGTACCAAGAGTTATACTCAGGTGTTAATTTCACTCCCAAGTATTAGATTCAGCTAACTTTTCAAGTGCATGGGAACTGTGAAGACAGGTGGTTGAGCGTTTGCGGGGTTATATTGCAAAGTACTTCTGTTTTCAACTTGTTGCAACCAGAGTAAGCCATATAGATCCAAGACTCTATGAAGATATGGGAGGGTTATATGGGGTTAGGATAAAGCCAGTAGGATGTGCTCTGGGAAAAGGGAGACTTTAACCACTTGCCTACCAGGCACTTATACCCCCTTATTTACCAGGCCAATTTTCAGCTTTCAGCGCTGCCGCACTTTGACAATTGCGCGGTCATGCAACATTGTACCCATATGAAATTTTGATCATTTTTTTCTCACAAATAGAGCTTTCTTTTCGGTGGTATTTAATCGCCACTGCACGTTTTATTTTTTGCGCTATAAATAAAAAAATTGCAAAAAATTTGAAAAAAAAAAAAGTTTCTTTGTTTCTATTATAAAATTTTTCAAACAGGTAATTTTTCTCCTTCACTGATGTGCGTTGATGAGGCAGCACTGATGGGCACTGATAGGCGGCACTGATGGGCACTGATAGGCAGCACTAAAGGGCACTGATAGGCAGTACTAATGAGGTGGCACGGATAGGCGGCACTGATAGACAGCACTAATGAGGTGTCACGGATAGGCGGCACTAATATGCAGCACTGATAGGCGGCACTGATAGGTGACACTGATGATGGGTACTGATAGACGGCACTGACTGGCATCACTGCTGGGCACTGACTGGCGGCACTGACTGGCACAACCGCTGGACACTGACTGGTGGCATTGACTGGCAGCACTGCTGGGCTGCACTGGCGGGTGGCACTGGTGGGCAGCACTGGTGGGTGGGCACAGGTGGGTGGCACTGGTGGGCACAGGTGGGTGGGCACAGGTGGGTGGCACTGCTGGGCACAGGTAGGTGGCACTTCTGGGCACAGGTGGGTGACACTGCAGAGTGGCACAGGTGGGTGCACTGCTGGGCACAGGTGGGTGCACTGCTGGGCACAGGTGGGTGATCTGCAGGGCACAGGTGGGCGGAGCTAGTGGGCGCACTGCTGGGCACAGGTGGGCGGAACTTGCGGGTGCCACTGCTGGGCACCGATCATCAGGGCACTGATCATCAGTGACCTGATGATCGGTGCCGATCCCCGCTCTGACAACTGCCGGTTCTCGGCAGTACTTTCCTCACGATCTGACAGCGTGAGGAAAGTGCAGCCGAGAACCGGCACTTGCATTTCCCTCTGATCAGCGTGTCATTGGACACCGCTGATCACGTGGTAAAAGGCCGCTGTGATTGGCCTTTTACCACATCACGTGATCAGCTGTGTCCGTAGGACACAGCGATCACGGAGATCGCCGGGTGCGCGCCCCAGGAGAGCGCGTTCTGGGCGGACGTCATATGACGTCCACCCAGAACTGGCCGGCCGCAGTGCAGCCATCATTCGGCTATCTGAGGTCGGCAACAAGTTAAATTCTATTCCTGGCTGGGATACCATGGATATTGTTGTCTTTTCTAATGCAGCTAGGGGTTATATGCAAATAGAAAAGATGATGAGTGATAAAGGGCACTCCTGTCTAGTGCCACTGGAAAGAATGAATGGTTGTGAAGTTGTGAATGGAGTCTAGATAATTGACAGCAGGGAGAAGTACAAGTCTAGTATGGCCTGTAGGAAGGGGTCTTTGATACCGATAACCTATATCTAAGGGTAGAGAACAAGAAAGGCCAACTTAGCCTATCCAAAGGCTTTCTTACCATCTAGACCTAGGAGGAGGACTTTGTTTCTTATTATTTGTCACATCTATGAGATCAGTTGCTCTCCTAGTATAGTCTCCTGTTTGTCAAAAGGGAGAAGGATGGAAAGAAGAATTCTGTTCAGTCTGAGTGCTAAGAATATGGTAAATATTTTTGAATATGGAATTCAATAAGGCTTTTGGCAAATAGAGCAAATGGTGTGGTTTTTGCCTGGTTTAGGAATTACAGTGATAATGTTTGTATGTCCCTATGAAAAGGTGTTTGGCCGGGGAACCCAATGAACAATTGGGTCTTGTGTGGTTGTTAAGTTGGTAGAAACATCTTTTAGTAGGTGTGTGGTAAACCATAAAGGTCTAGGGACTGCTGGTTGGGAAGGTTTTAATTGTCACCACAATTTACTTGTCAATCCTCTGAGTCAGAGATTTTTGCCATCACACTAGAGCAGTGTTTGTCACCTCCAGTCCTCATGGACCCCCAACAGGTCATGTTTTCAGGATTCCCCTCAGATGAAACAGCTGTGGTAATTACTAAGGCAGTGAAACTGATCAAATCACCTGTGCAAAATAATGGAAATCCTGAAAACATGACCTGTTGGGGGTCCATGAGGACTGGAATTGAGAAACACTGCACTAGAGGGTTGTAAAGAACAGGGCTGTTGAAAAGAAATTAGATTTATAGTCACCAAAGGTGTGAATTATTTGGCTAGGGTGGGAGTGAAAGGTGCATGTGTGATCTTTGCATGTTATTGATGTGCTTCCAATATTGTGCTGTAGGGAACCTTGGAAGAGGTATTTTCTATGAAATATTGCTTCAATGTGCAGTCCACTTTAATTTAGACGTTTAGTATTTGAATAGGAAGTTGTACCATTGCCGGTGACATGTTTTAAGGGACTGGGGGTGTACATTTAGAGTGAATTATGGAGGCAAGGCCTGACCAGGTGATAGGGAGTATATTAGAATTTTTGCAAGAGTATAGCATGGGATTATTAACAAAAAATAGTTTATCTGTGCATGCGTAAAGTGCAGATGGAAATACAATCTGTATTTCTGTTGCCCGTGTGGTCCACTCTCCAGGTGTCAAAGACAGCCTATTGCCATGATAGTTGACAGGAGAGAAGGGATATTCATCTCCTAGAGGGGGAATGCTTATCTAAACAATTTGAAGAGGACAGTTTAAAATCGTTGGCAATAATCAAGAGGCTATGGTCAGAGGAAAAGAAGCATTTGTACACTTTGTATAAAAATGAGTGTTCATTGGTTTCAGATACTGTATGTAGTGGTCACATTTGGTAAATTCGGTGGCTTTCCATTTGCACTTGTGATTTATATTGTGGTCATAGTTGTAGATACACATGGTGATGGGTTGGAATAGAGAGACAGTTTTAATCAAGATTGCTGCTTTAGCTTTTTTTTTCTTTTGAGTTGAGAACTATTATACGCCCACTCTGCCAATTTATTAGGTACACCTTGGTAGTACTGGGTTGGACCCCATTTTGACTTCAGAACTGCCTTAATCCTTCATGGCATAGATTCAACAAGGTGTTTGAAACATTCCTCAGATTTTTGTCCATATTGACATGATAGCATGCCTTTCTATCATCTTGAACCAGTCTGCCCAATCTCCTCTGACCTCAGACATCAACAAGGCATTTTTGGCCACATAATTGCCGCTCACTGGATATTTTCTCTTTTTCAGACCATTCTTTCTAAACCCTAGTAATGGTTGTATGTGAAAATCCCAGTAGATCAGCAGTTTTTGAAATACTGAGACCAGCCCATCTGGCACCAACAACTATGCCACGTTCAAAGTCATTTAAATCCCCTTTCATCCCCATTCTGATGCTCGGTTTGAACTTTAGCAAGTCATCATCGCCACATCTAGATGACTAAATGCATTGAATTGCTGCCATGTAATTGGCTGATTTGCAATTTGTGTTACCACGCAATTGAACAAGTACATCTAATAAAGTGGCCAGTGAGTGTATTTTGGAATAATAGCTAGATGCAAATTGAAAGGAAATGCTTTTGTACAGATGCCTTTCCTGTACAAAATGTAAAAAAAGAGTGAAATCTTAAAGGGCCAGTTGTCTTAGTATTGAAATTAAGGTATTTTACAATGAAGGATGAGATAACAAGACAACAGGGGATGTTGAGCAAAACAAACATTTTAGCCATCTACTATTACTAATTAGGCAAAGATGAGTTCCCAGTTGTCAGAGAGAACAGAATTATATTGACTACCATATATCTGCGTTTTGGTGGGAAGCCTTGGAGAGTAGTTTGAAAGATTTCCTGCTGGTCCTGTCAGGTTGGTTAGCCACAACAACTGTTCACAATAAGCGAACAGAGGTAATACTAACAAAATGAACGGCGTCTACATACATACATACATACATACAATATATGAATGCCAAAATACCATGGGTGAGAAAGCCTCGTTATATGGTTAAACACTTGGCTATAACTCTATAGCACTCCATACCTAGAAAGAAAAAAAAAATGAAAAATTTAAAAAAATGTGCAGTTCTCCCAGAATTTCTAGAAGAACTACTTGATGATGGGAAGCTAAAACCCTACTTACTGATACAATTGTGTAGGTGGAAAACAACTTTTTTAACGAGCAAAACATAAATGGAACAATCCATCCAACAGCTGTAGTCCCCAATGGTAGTCATAGTCCAGAGGGAGTTACAATTTATGGATTACATAATGAATATCAGCGATCTAACGCTGGAGGAACTCATAGAGCTGTTTCTGCAGTGTAGAATGAGAGCTTCAATTTAGAAGGCAAATTAATTTTTTAGTGTGAAGCTAGAGGGGTAGAGGGAAATGGAGGAGTGCGTGGGCAAGGTTTATTTATGACCAATCACAGTCAGGGTGTGTCCTGAAGAGTGGGGGTCTTGAGAGGGTCCCTGCCAGGAAGCGATGGGTATAAATGTTTAATTCTCTGCAAAAGGATTGAAGGTCTTATGGGTTATACAGTTCATCTAGTGTAGTCCTTCCAAGATGTGTAGCCAGTCATGTCTAATTTTGAATATGAGCAATGATCTGATGTAGCAATCACAGGAGGAGATTTGGTGTTAGAGTTCAGCCCTGTATGTGCAATAGAGCAAAAAAAATATACACAGGTAGACAGGGGGGCTTATCTGCAGTCCTGGGGAGACAGATCTCTATGGAGGGAAGGCGGTTTAGATGGTGATAGATTTGACAATCGCGGCGTCAGACCCCCAGCCCTTCTCACCAACTTGTGACCGAAGGACTAGCCAATCTAAAACCACGCTGTCACATGCGTAACAATGCCACGCTCAGCTGTGCCCTGTACAAAGATTTTCCAGCTAATGGACCACAATCGATTGTTACTGAGGGGTTACTGGGTCAGGTTAATTACGCAATTAACCCTTCACACTGCCACCACCACCTTTTAGTACAGAGTAGGAGGAAACTTGCCAATATTAGCAATAACACTAAGATATTTGAATAATCATCTGTATACCACTGTCACCGCAGGCAGAGATATATAGAGGTTTTAAAAACACACAGTAGCGCTCTTCAGAGACAGGGTTCCTTATTTGCATTAAGAGCTTTAGAAACAGTTCAACACTTTTCACATAGGATTTATTACTAAAAAGGTCAAAAGAGTGCAATAACAATATTTACAGAAAAAGATGTAGCCAATATATACAGTGGGGATCGAACGTTTGGGCACCCCAGCTAAAAATTTGTATTATTGTGCATAAAGAAGCCAAGGAAAGATGGAAAAATCTCCAAAAGGCATCAAATTACAGATTAGACATTCTTATAATATGTCAACAAAAGTTAGATTTTATTTCCATCATTTACACTTTCAAAATAACAGAAAACAAAAAAATGGCATCTGCAAAAGTTTGGGCACCCTGCAGAGTTAATATCTTGTACTGCCCCCTTTGGCAAGTATCACAGCTTGTAAACGCTTTTTGTAGCCAGCCAAGAGTCTTTCAATTCTTGTTTGAGGTATCTTTGCCCATTCTTCCTTACAAAAGTCTTCCAGTTCTTTGAGATTTCTGGGCTGTCTGTCACGCACTGCTCTTTTAAGGTATATCCATAGATTTTCAATTATGTTGAGGTCAGGAGATTGTGAAGGCCATGGCAAAACCTTCAGTTTACGCCTCTTGATGTAATCACCCGTGGATTTCGAGGTGTGTTTAGGATCATTATCCATTTGTAGAAGCCATCCTCTCTTTAACTTCAGATTTTTCACAGATGGCATCAAGTTACCATCCAAAATTTGCTGAAATTTTATTGAATCCATTTTTCCTTCTACTCGTGAGATGTTCCCTGTGCCACTGGCTGCAACACAACCCCAAAGCATGATTGATCCAACCCCATGCTTAACAGTTGGACAGAGGTTCTTTTCATTAAATTCTGTGCCCCTTCTTCTCCAAACGTATCTTTGCTCATTCCGGCCAAAAAGTTCAATTTTAACCTCATCGGTCCACAGAACTTGTTTTCAAAATGCATCAGGCTTGTCTATATGTTCATTTGCAAAGTTCAAACGATGATTTTTGTGGTGAGGATGTAGAAGAGGTTATCTTCTGATGACTCTTCCATGAAGACCATATTTGTACAAGTATCTCTTTATAGTGGAATAGTGTACCACAACTCCAGTGTCTGCCAGATCTTTCTGGAGGGATCGTGCAGTCAAACGTGGGTTTTGAATTGTTTTTCTCACAATCCTGCGAGCTGTTCTGTCTGATATTTTTCTTGGTCTTCCAGATCTTGCTTTAACTTCCACTGTTCCTGATGACTGCCATTTCTTAATTACATTCCGAACAGAGGATATTGACATCTGAAAACGCTTTGCTATCTTCTTATAGCCTTCTCCAGCTTTGTGAGCGTCAACTATTTTCAGTTTCAGTTTTCTAGACAACTGCTTAGAAGAACCCATGGTGCTGATTGTTGGGGCAAGGTCAGATGAGTCTGGGCATTTAAAACCTTTGAGATTGACATCACCTGGTCTTCCCAGACGATGATTGAGAACAATCCATGACACTGGCAGGTCTCAGCTTGGCAAAGGGGGCAGTGCATGCTATAAATTCTGCAGGGTGCCCAAACTTTTGCAGACGCCATTTTTTTGTTTTCTGTTATTTTGAAAGTGTAAATGATGGAAATAAAATCTAACTTTTGTTGACATATTATAAGAATGTCTAATCTGTAATTTGATGCCTTTTGGAGATTTTTCCATCTTTCCTTGGCTTCTTTATGCACATTAATACAAATTGTTAGCTGGGGTGCCCAAACTTTCGATCCCCACTGTGTATATATATATATATATATATATATATATATATATACAGAGAGCAATAACACAGCAAAGAGATAACAGAAAGAAGTTTAGAGAGATAGAGTAGTTGCCAAAAGTCCTGGTTAAGCAGCTCAAGTTTCCTGAGCCAAAAGGGTGCCTTATCTCCCAAAGTTGGTTCCGATGTTAAAAGGTAGATTTCTTCAACTTCAACACGACCTACTCAACTTAACTCTCTGCTCCAAGCATAACAGCCTTTCTAGGAACTCAGCAGGGTGTCTCCTTGAAGCAGAGAACCAATCGCCTCATTTGGGGAGGGTGTTGCAGGCGGAGACCCAAGCTAGAACCAAAATCCCTCTCAGTTTACATCATGATCCATAACTTACCCTCGGTGCATGTAGCAGCCTTGCCACTAGTAGATTAATATGCAGAAGCATCTGCTGAACATCTAGATATTTAATATGACATACCTGCTTGGGACGGTTAAGGAGATATTATTTTCTGCTCTCCTGTAGATTTCAGCTAGGGGGTGTAATATATCAGCCGACTTGTATTAAAGTGACCAATCTGAATATATGCCTGGTTTCCTTGTAAGTCTTCCATATCTCCAGATATAAAATTATATGGAAAAGGGGATTTTTAAATGTGAGTCTGTTTTACAGCTAGCTGGAATGTCTTTGAAGCTCAGTGAAGGACTGGTTTATGGTTTTACGATATCTCAGATTGAGAAGCTAACAGACACCCCGGCACCAGCTAGTTTGGGATTTATAACCATGGAGCTCTCCCACTGTGCCTGTGATCCCTGGCATCATACAGAACACATTCCTGAGGGAGGGGGGAAATTGGAGGGAAGCTGGTTTGGGAGTAGAAAAGATACAAGATGGAGGATCCTTAGCAAGATGGATGACCACGTCCATCTCTGTATGCACAATTGCTACAATAGAGTCCTCCCTTCCTTCTGCACAGTGGTCAACAGGGTATACTTCAGTGCTAGAGCTATGTAAGTTTGGAGGACTGCTGAATCAGTGAGCATTGATCCCAGCTGGGGAGAGGTGTGGAATCCGTATGGATAGTTGTCACTCTACGCTCCACATATGGGCCTATGGAGAGAGCCTTCCATCTGGGGGCAGGAGAGTGCTAGAGCACTGAGGGCACAGGCACAGTCTGTGTCACTCTCTAGAAAGGCTTGCCAAAAATAATCCTCAGCCATAATCTCAGTTTTGGATGGATGGTGGCTGCAGAGATTAGATGGTGGTATAGGCCAAACAGTTCATTGGAGCTGAAGCCATCTTGGAAGGACCAGGACTAGACCAGAAACTGCTGTGAAGCTGCACAAGCCAGAGTAGTCCTAAATTGTCATAGGGGTGCTGGGTGGGTTGGATGGAGTTTTGAGGTCTTTTTCCTACCTTGTTTTCCAATTTCAGCTGTTGCTAATGTTCTAGCAGCTGAGTGGAGGTAGGCCCGTTAAAGAGACTCAGGCAGCCATGTGTGCACCCAAGGCCATCCAAGCCATGCCCCCCCAATAGTTTTATGTAAACATTTATTAGCATGTTGATGAGGGGAAAACAGGAATCAAATATAATCAAACTAAATTTTAGCTGTAATTTATTTTCTAGGTGCTATTTTGGGGCAAATTTCAACAAATTGGCAAATCTGTAACATAATGTGATAAAACAACTGTTGAAATGCAACTCTATTGCTTTTCTATGACAGATTAGAAAACTGCGGCACATTCATGGATCTAATGACTGTAACTTTATTGACACATTTCCCGCATTGCATTTTGCTTTTCTTTAGCCTTCATTAAATGTTCACATCTCTATCATTTGGACCATTCCATATAGGAGCTTCATGGAACTCTGTTCACACTACTTATGCAGGCCATACATGGGTCAAATTCAGAAGATTTGTGCATTTTGTAGTCCGATGGTACCACCATTGATTTCGAAATTCGACCAACAAAGTGTTTAATTTCACCTCATGTTGCCACAGAAAAGAATTTTCGTGGCCAAGAATTTTCTTTTCTTTCCAAGTCACAGCTCATGCTCAATTCTTTTTCAATTACATTTCTCGCACGATTCTTCCATCATTGATTAGAAATTTGTTCATTTTTGAAAACATTTCCAACATGCCCAATCACTCAAATTCGATGGTCACTAGAAAATTGGCCTTTACTGTGGCCCACTAATGATGCGAAATTCGAACGAAAATTCTTAGAAAATATTTTCAAAAGAAATTCTTTCAAAATTCGACCCATGTATGGCCAGCTTTACTGTCTGAACTGTATTCCTCAAAGCTCATAATCAGCACATGAACTGCAATTGTATGCTTTCTAGAAATCCGAGGTTGCTACAGTATTTCAGCTGTACTTGGTAAAGTGTTGTTTTATAAATATTTATTCACATATCTGTGATTTATCTCATGATAGGGATATCTGAACGAAGATTGTTATCCCACAGAATTTACAGGACTTGTTACTCATCTACATTATCATGAGCCATCTAATTTTGTATTTGTCGCCTTTCTTGAAAAAGGTCTTTTTCATCAGCTGTGTAAGCCACTACCCGAAGGTACGGTTTTAATGTCAATTTTCTTTAAATTACATTACAAGACAATTCTGAAAAGATACAACTGAATAGATACATACTCAATGGCCACCTCATCAGGTAAATCTGCTCACTAATGAAACAGTCTCGTGGATCTAAAGGGTATCTAAACTCAAGAACAAAAAAATTAAGGTATTCCTTACCTCTCCTTAGATATGGTGGATTAATTTTGTTCGTCTTTATTTCACCTGGGGATCCTGCCAGAAACACACTTCCTGTCCTAGGGTAACAATTGTATTGTATCCATGAGGAGCGGGTTTGACACCCTAGAAAGGGAGTGTTAGGATTATATAACAGCTCCCCCACTCCATAACAGGGGGAAGTGTTTTGTATTCAGAGATGGCTTGGAACAATGTTAACTGGTAACTGTCCACAGAGGAACAGGACACAGGAAGTTATAAGCGCATAGGATTTCTGGTATATTTAACATACTATAAGGGAGCAAATAAAAGAAAGGTATTCTTAGAATTTACATACACTTTAACTTAAAGGGTATAACACCACTTTTGTAGAAATAAAATATAGCAAATAAAAAAATAAGGCATGCACAATTGCTATGCAAGCCATAGTGTAATTTAATGTTATTAAAAATTACCTTTCTTATTCAAACTGCAGTGTTGTCGTTTTTCTGTAAAATTCATAGCAATAGGGCAACCTGGAGGCTTTATGTACACACTTGGTGTATAGAGCGCCCCTAGAAATGTCATTTCATGCTTGGCTGAAGAACTCTGCACTAGTATACAAGTCAGGTTTTAGACATCCTCTGCAACAAAAATGTAATTTTTGGTGAGATACTTCTAAAGGGATGCAGACATTGCAACTTTTCTCATCAGAATCCTAAAATTGCACTCCGATTCAGACACAGTATCCAAAGCACCAACCATTTTTTCCTCAGAGCAGACACAGGTAGGAATCTGCAACAACATTTCTTAACCAATTGCCCTCCTGAGGATTTACCCCCCTTCCTGACCAGGCCATTTTTTGCGTTACAGGCTGCGTCACTTTAACTGACAATTGGGCGGTCATGCAACGCTGCACCCATATGAAATTTACGTCCTTTTTTCCCATGAATTTAGCTTTCTTTTAGTGGTATTTGATCGCCTGTGCATTTTTAGTTTTTTGCATGTCCAGTAAAAAAAATTACTCAAAACATTAAAAATCAAATTTCATCGTAAATTTACACCAAAATGTATTCTGCTTCATGTCTTTGCTAAAACAAAATCCCAATACGTGTAAATTAATTGATGTACGTGAAAGTTATAGCGTTTACAAATGGCGGTATAGATACTGGAATGTGTTTTTTTTTACTAGTAATGGCGGCGATCAGCGACTTATAGCGGGACTGTGGCAGCATTCTGACACTGGGGGGAACTGACTTGGTGTCACTGACATCCCCAGTGACACCAATACAGTGATCAGTGCTATAAAAAAGCACTGACACTGTACTAATGGCACTGGGCAGTTAGGGGTTAACATGAGAGGCGATCACAGGGTTAACTGTGTGCTGGGAGTGTTTTACTGGGGGGGTGGTTGGTGTGTTGGTGCATGGGAGATGATCGGTAATCACCGGGCGCTGGCGGGTAATCACTGGCCGGGACCTGGTGATTGACAGCTGTGGACGCGAATTGCAATTCGTGTACCCCCTACCGGAAAATGGTGATTTTGCCCATCCCTGCCGCTTTGTAGCAGTATATCTGTTATAGGGCAGTTGGGATGTGGTTAAAATCTCTGCAATGTGCATTGACTACCCAGGGGGGATTTGTTTTTTTTTTTTTTCTCAACAAAAAAAGAGTGCAGGCATGCTCAAAAGGTTCAGCTGTTGTTTGAGCAAACATTATAATGGGGAATGTATGAGCCAAGAAGCTTTGAGTACAAGTACATAGTGGTGTTAGTTTGTAAAAAGACACATCAATCAAGTTAATGCAACCAATAAGATAGCAAAACTTGCTAAATATGGTTTCCTTAAAAAGATAATAAAAAGCTTCCTGGTCCCTGAAGGTAATCAGATAATTTATAAGATAAATATTCAACTTAAAGTAATCAAAGTGTCACACTGTGTGAAAGTAGTAATCTCTCTGCAGCAGTCTGAAACTCCCCTAGCATTTTCACAATTACAGCTCTGCTATCACTGCTCTGCTCACTGTAGCACAACAGGCTTTACCAACACTAATGCTGTGCAAATACTTTTCTGTTGGGGTTGCTTGACTAAAGTAACCAACTATAAAGCCAGCCATAGTTGGATCATAATTCAGATGGTTCAGCAGGGACCAGGTGAATTTAGTTTATCTATGAGCACGCTGGTTGTACACAAGTTGATCTCTGGATCAACTTGTATATATTCAGCCTGTAGGGTTTTCTTTGCTCGATCAGTACCACTAGCTATAGCTGGCAACACTGATCATTGTATTCTGATGGCAGAGGCTTCCCACTGTCAGAATACAATAGCCCAGTGGGAAGCAATCATCCATCAAATAATTTGGCACTTTCAAGGGTATGGAAATTAAAAAAAACAAAAAACGACTTGTCTGGGGACTAAATTGGGATCCCAATCTACTTGTCCATCATAACAATATACTTGTCCTGAAAAAAAAAAATTTTTTTACCAGGGTGGAAAATATGAATGGTTGATGTTTTTTTTATTAGGCAGAGGTGCTTTTAGGAATGTCTGGGGCTTTTGAAAGCTAAAGGGCCTTTATGATGACTTAAACTTTTATAATTTTTTATTTTTTGCTAGAAAATTACTTAGAACCCCTAAACATTATATTTTTTTTAAGCAGAGGCCCTAGAGGATAAATTGGTGGGTGTTGCAAATTGTTTATGTCACACGATATATGCAAAGCAGTTTTTCAAAAATCTTTTTTTTTTTAAATTACAACTTTTTTTAATTTTAGTACAAAATAACACAATACATAACTAATTTTTTAGTAAAATAAATATTATAATTTTACGCTGAGTAAATGGATACCAAACATGTCACTTTAAAATTGTGCATGCCTGTGCAATGGCAACCAACAATGTAAATTTACTATCCATAGGTGACACTTTAAAGCCTTTGCAGGCTACCACTTTAGATTTACAGAGATGGTCTAGTGCTAGAATTACTGCTCATGATCTGATGTTTGAGGTGATACCTCACATGTGTGGGACAATTTCTGTTTGTGTGCATGAGCATGGGGGGATGGGACATCCCTCCTCTGCCATAAAACATTTGTTCACACCGTGATCAGTGTAAACAAATGCTTTTCTTTTTTAAAAAATGGTGCCCTTTACATACGGGGAAACCGGGCGTGATGTATGTTCATTGCTTCCAGTTTCTTTTATCATAGAGGGAGATAGAACAGTTCCAGTCCACCTCTATGATCAGCTGGCGGAAGTGTCTACTGGTTGATTGTGTGTCCCAGTGGGATAGAACAGCCTGTGGAAGGTGGCAGGATTTCCCCTAACGCTGCTGCTTGCAGCAAGGCTAAATGTGAAGAAAAACCTCTTGCCCGGCGCCCGGAACTGCATGTCCCAGGCATCAGGCAACAAGAATTGTACTGACACTTTTTTCATTCAACAAGCTGGTTGAACAAAAAAAAAAGTATAATGTCTGGCCTGCCTAAGACATTAAAAACAAAGGGGTCTATGTATTAAAAAATTTGTTGGACAAATGTCACAAGCATTTGCCTAGCTCTTACAAATTTGTCCCATAATTTGCTTAATATGTTGAGTCACTATGATTTTCAACGCTAACTAGGGGCCACAATTCAGTATTTGCCTGATGGAGGCAGTTTAGGAAAACATTATATTATGGCCACTAGATGATGCTGATGATTACAGGAAATCAACGTATTAAGCAAATTACAGCCAGAATTTGTGAGGGCTAGGCGAATGATTGCTACATCTGTCCAACAAAGGTTTCTATACATATAGACCCCTTACTGTTTTCTGCACTCTGATTTTATTAGTTTATCATTTGCAATGAAACCTCAGTTTAACTTTATTTTTTATAAATGTAAGAAACAATGTATATTTTTAAGTTGACTTGAGCCTTAACATGGGCTAAGAGCACTATCAGCTAACTGTACAACATTTAAAGAGTTATTACATTTTAAATTAAAAAAAATAATATGGTGCTGCAGAGCCCAGTACTTACCAGTAACCTGGTTTCCTTTTTTAGTCTGTGTTTGTCTGGAAATTTACACCTTTAATACTATGTGGCCAACCTTAGCGTTTGTGGGGGATTGATCAGATATTTTGCAAAATACCCATGTTTAGAAGAAAAAAAGGGCACTTAATAATCATTTAATTATCCATTATTATCTGCCAGTTTTAATAGAGAGTTAATGTTAGGCCTCCTATCCAAATAGGTCTTGGGGGGCCCTTTGGTAAGCCCTATGCTTTTCCTAATAACCAGATCTGACAGAGCCCCAGTCTCTCATTGGCACAATTGATTGGAGTTTTTTTTAGGAGAGTTTACTACAGGTTCCAATGCTTTAAACTGCTTCTAAGTGTTATACATACAAATTAAAGCTGAAGGCTGAAGATCCCCTCCAAATCACTGCAAGGGTTAACTGCTTTTTTTTTGTCTAGGGTTATTTAAAATAAGTGAAATATTTTATCTTACTTCATGTTCCCGGGGGCATCCTCAATACAGCACCATTGATCCCTTGAGGCTACTTCAACTTGCTCTTCAATTGCAGAAGTCTTGTATTGTACGTGAAGACCCCAAGGGTTCGCCCTGCTGCCAGGGAGCAAGAAAAAGGTTAACTAATTCATATTATTCATCATCCCCCTAGACAAATCAAGCAGTTTACATTTTGCAGTGCTAAGGAGGACCCCACTGTTGAGTATTTTTGCCTTCAAACCCAAGTTCAGCTTTACCTTGTTTAAAGTAGTATGCTTTCAGTGAGTCACTGATTAAAATGTAATTAAATGTAATTAAATTTGCATTAGGAAATTACATAGTAATAGTTTGTTAAAGCTTAATAATGAAAATTACTTGTCTATCTTTTATCATTTAGACTCAACAAAATTTCCAGACTCTGTTATGCAAACATTGGTTGTGATACTGGCAAATCTATTTGGAAGATCATATTTAGCACCATGCAGGCGTTCACTTCAAAATTTCTATCAGTCAAAGGTAAGGGAAACAAAATATTTGTGACTGGAACTTTTAGGAGCTGTCATCTAGAGCATATGGCAAGGAAGGACATTTCCAGCAATATAGACATGCAGTATATCCTCAGGACACAATCTGAATGTCAAATAATGTACTGTGCAGGGTACAATGCCTATGTATGTATTAGACACTTCTATTTCCACTGGTATCTTCTAGGAACAGCTCTGTTGGTCAGGACAGCTAAGCTGGCCAATATTTTTCTTAGATCTATTGGCCAGTGGTGTCTGCTAAAATCTGCTCACGTCCATAGATCTCTATTTTGTCAGTTTACATTAAAAGAATATTGTATGTGATAACATACTAATCCCTAATATTTATTTAAGGTAATGGTAAACACATTATGACCAGATTATTACTAACAATGAAGAAAACGTTTTCTGTTTTGAACATATGCCAGCCAAAATGTATCATTAGATTTTATCAAAGTATTTTGAAGTAAAATATTTTAGTAAAGCACTCATCTGGCTAACAAAATATAAGAAATATAAGAAATTCAATACAGTACATTAGTATTTTTTTCAATCATTAGAATTCTGAACTAGGGAACAGAGGTGAGACACTGGTCATTAACAAGGAGGCCAGGAATACTGTGGGATTTTAAGCGTATCAGGCCAATCAGCTACACGGCTAATGGAGTATTGCAAAAATATTGGCTATGTAGGTGAGAAATCCAGTGGTGACATCTTTTAGAATTGTTCCATTGGGTTTATTTACTAAAGCTGGAGGATGCAAAATCAGGCTCACTTCTGCATAGAAACCAAACAGCTTTGAGGTTTTATTGGCAAAGCTTGACTGAACAAGCTGAGGTTAGAAGCTGATTGACTACCCTGCACAGCTGCTCCAGATTCTGAGTAAACCAGTTTTAGTAAATCTCCCCCATTGTCTCAGACAAAAATGCATTGTTTTCTTCATTGTGGGGTTTATTCTACTTATAATTCAATAAAAAGTAAAAACAATCAGCAATACCCTGAAACCATCCAATAAAAAGGTAGACTACATAGTCGAACAAAAAGGAAACAAAGAGCCCAGTAAGGTATCTTAATAAAAATAACTCTAAGACCCTAACACTAAAATTTTTGAAAAAGCTGGCTGAGGGGTTAATGAGCCCAGCTAAAGTAGATCTCACTACTCTGGACTCTAAAAATAGGGACAATTCTCCACCTTGTAATCCAATACTCTGCACATGTCAGACTGGGGAGCAGAAAACTACCTGTGTGTTTAAGACCAATAATTTGTGGCGAGGACTGTTCTTTTTTTTTTGTTGACAGTAGGGCCTGGGCAGCAGCAGGCTATTCCAAGACAGTTAGTTATTGCCCAGGATGACAGATAAGCACCCAAAATGGCAAAGATTGATTTTCTGGTTTTGTATTTGTGTTGCTGGTTGATGCTTGTGCATCTTGGAAATAGACTCTGTAAATACACTGCTTGTGTGTTTCCACCAAGACTTGCTGTCTGCTGTGACTATTAACTGTGTTGTAGAGTCATCCAGGGAGTCTTGCATGCTACACTGCTGGGTTAATCCCTCAAAAACGAAAATCATTACATACAGATAACAGTATTTCTATGAACCTTCCAGGATGGCACACCTGAGAGAGATGAGAGGGTCCTCCCTACAGGAAACACAATCTATTGACAGCTGTTAAAAGTCCCCACCCTTCCTCTTGATCCTCAGTTTGTAATAAAGTAACTCCTGAAAACGTTCCACAAGGGGAATAATTCTACCTAGGTACTTACCACGTAGTACTTTTAGGAGTTTTCTCCCCCCTTAATAGGGTAGGAAGTAGTCTTACCATCCTGGAAGGTTTCATAGATATACCATTATTGGTAAGTAATGGTTGTATTTCTCCTCTCACCTTCCAGGATGGCACACCTGATAGGATAATCAAGTATCCTCAGACCTATCTTATGGTGGGACCACTGTCTGCAGGACCTTCCTGCCAAACGTTAAGTCCTGCTTTGAGTGTACCTTCACAATATAAGAAAGGAACCAGTAAGATAATTGGCACTGGGGGGGGGGGGGGGGGCACTCGTGGTGAAATAAAAATAATTGAACAAATGCAGCAACAATAAGGAAACAATAAAATATATAAAAAACATAAAATGTGTCACATAAAGTCCATAGTATAGGCACTAGCAGTTGCAGCTCCCCATAGAGTGATGCAATACTCTGTAGGAAATATAAATAACAAAAGGAGGGGCCAACCTAAGTGCAGTAGGTTAAAATAATTTTTTGAAATGTAATAGCCAGTAGCTACTCACAAAGATAGGAGAATAGTAAGCATCTAAGTTAATCCTCGGCTTGGCCATTGGAGGGCCGATGGTGTCAGCCTGACCCCGGATCCCAGAGGTGAAGTAGAGTGAGAGCCATCAGCTCTCAGCGTTGGGGATGCTGGAAACCAGCGCCGTAACCAGCGTGGAGCAAATGGTAGTCCGGACTGGGGCGGGTGACCAATGGGAAGGCGAGGACGGATCAGGTATTGCGTTTCAAAGCATCAGCTTCTTCTTCAGACCTGGTTGGATGTTGATTTCACTCTCTTATAAAAGGAAGAATGGATGGGGTGGGCTTTGGCAGATAGATGGACAGCAGTGTACTAGAAGGCAGGGATAAAAGCGCAGATTGGCAGACATGATTTAAAAAGAAAGTGGTATATATTGCACAGTTAATAACTAGATGGTAACAAACTTTAAAACATATTTGTGGTCATTGATCAGAAAAAACTGGACCACAGGAGAACATGTATATAAAAGATGACAGATAATTGAGCATTAGCAATCTCAAAGACCATAATACAGAGATATACAGTTGTGCTCAAAAGTTTACATACCCTAGCAGAAATTGTGAAATTTTGGCATTGATATTGAAAATATGACTGATCATGCCAAAAAATGCTCTTTTATTGAAGGATGATGATCATATGAAGCCATTTATTATCAAATAGTTGTTTAGCTCCTTTTTAAATCATAATGATAACAGAAATCATCCAAATGGACATGATCAAAAGTTTACATACCCTGGAATGTTTGGCCTTGGTACAGACACACAAGGTGACACACACGGGTTAAAATGCCAATTAGAGGTTAATGTCCCACATTTGTGGCTTTTTAAATTGCAATTAGTGTCAGTGTATAAATAGTAAATGAGTTTGTTAGCTCTTACATGGAAGCACTGACTAGGCTAGATACTGGAGCCATGGGGATCAGAAAAAGAACTGTCAAAAGTCCTGCGTAACAAAGAAATGGAACTTTATAAAGATGGAAAAGGACAAAAAGATGTACAAAGCCTTGAATATGCCAATCAGTACTGTTAAATCACCTATTAAGAAGTGGAAAGTTTGGGGATCTCTTGATACCAAGCCAAGGTCAGGTAGACCAAGAAAGATGGCAGCCATAACTGACAGAAGAATTGTCCGGGATTCAAAGAAAAACCCACAGGCAACCTCAAAAGAAATACAGGCTGCTCTGGAAAAAGATGGTGTGGTTGTTTTTTAAGGAGTACGTTTCCAGCGATTATGTAGACAAGAAACCTTTTGGATATATACCTTAAATAAACTAGCCCCTAAAGGGTTAAAACAATGCAATTGAGGTCCATACCATTTTATAATATAATTTTTTGATCATTGTGCCCATATGCACCTTTTCCTATTTTTATGTGTGTCAAATCCTTCATTGTCCCCGTCTTTATTGTGACAGTAGAGCTACATACACATGTATATTCCGTTTTGTTGGTTACCGTATTTATTCGAGTATAACGCGCAAAATTTTCTACCAAAAAAAGAAATCAAAGTTTGGGTGCGCGTTATAAACGAGGGCTGGGGTGGGGTGACGCAGTGGCGGCCGATCCATTGAGGGCGCAGGCGCTCACTGTACGCGAGGGCGAAGAAAAAAAAACGTCCCCTGTGCCGGCCCCGCCCCTTTAAGGGGCGGCGAAAACGGGATGTTTTTTTTTTTTCTACGTCCCCTCGTCGCGTACAGTGGGCGGCCCGAACTGGCGAGATGCACTGGTGGGGTGTGACGCAGTGGCGGCCGGTCCATTGAGGGTGCAGGCGCTCACTGTACACGAGGGCGAAGAAAAAAAAAACGTCCCCTGTGCCGGCCCGCCCCTTTAAGGGGCGGTGAAAACAGGAGATCGTTTTTTTTTTTCTATGTCCCGTACGTGTACAGTGGGCGGCCCGAACTGGCGAGATACACTGGGGGTGAGAATTCTTATCCGCTGTAACATATGGTCGCCTCTTCATTTCCTTTCCTCGCCTCGCCCACACGTTACGGTAAGCATTGCTGTTTTGCTGTTTTGCACAATTCAGTGTTCTTCATATTTTTGGTTCTTCAAAAAGTGAAACAAAATTTTATACCGATTTTTAATCGAAAATTAGGGGTGCGCATTATACACGTGTGCGCGTTATACTCGAATAAATAAACGGTATTTTCAGTAAACATATATCTCTGTATTATGGTTTTGAGATTGCTAATGCTCAATTATCTGTCATCTTTTATATACATGTTCTGTGGTTCAGTTTTTTCTGATCAGTGACCGCAAATATGTTTTAAAGTTTGTTACCATCTAGTTATTAACTATGCAATTTATACATCGTTCTTTTTAAATCATGTCTGCCGACCTGCGCTTTTATCTCTGCCTTCTAGTTCACTGCTGTCCATCTATCTGCCAAAGCCCGCCCCATCTGTTCTTTCTCCTATAAGAGAGTGATATCCCCAACATCCAACTAGGTCTGAAGAAGAAGTGGATGCTTTGAAACACGTCACCTGATCTGTCCTTGTTCTCCCATTGGTCACCCGTATGGTCCGGACTTCCGTGCACTCCATGCTTTCCAGCGTCCCCACTGCTGATAGCTGACGGCTCTCACTCTACTCCACCTCTGGGATCCAGGCTCAGGCTGATGCCATCGGCCCTCCACTGGCCAAGCCGAGGATTAACTTAGATGCTTACTAGTAGCTATTGGCTATTA